TAGCTTAATAATTCACATTACCCAGGATTCATATAATTTTCTCCAAATATTTCCTAATTCTTCAAAAATATTTTTAAACTAATTTAAGCAGCATATTTAGAAGGTCAGAGTCAAAAGTGGTGGTTCATGCCTGTAATCCCAGCACTCAGAAGGCTGAGGCAGGAGGATTGCTGTGAGTTGGAGGTCAGCATCAGCTACATGGTGTGTTCAAGGTCAGCCTGAACTGCACAGCAAGACCCTGTCTAAAAAAAAGGTCAATATCAAGTGGAGTTAAATCCTGGGATGCAAGTGTGGTTTAACATGTTTAGATCAGTAACGGTGATCACCCACATTGACAGAATGAAAGATGAAATATCCTATGATGATATTAATGCATTCAGAAGAAACATTTGACAACATCCTCTATTTTTTTATAAATCTAAACTCTTGATAAATAGGTATAGAAGAAATGCACCTCAGCGTAATGAAGGTCAAGTCCGTAACTGTCACTACAGCAAAGAGCTGAAAACATCTCCTCTGAGACAAGGAGTCAGACAAGAGCAGAAACTTGTGTGTCATGTCTACTCAAGAGTACACTGAAAGTCCTTGCTAGATAAATTAGACAAGAAAATAAAACATTCAGATAGGAAAGGCTAATGAAAGAGTCTGTTTGTACCTGATTATGATCTTATATAGAGCACACCTTGTAGATGCCATCACAAGCATAAATTTAGAAATAATAGGTGAACTCAGTGAAGCTGCAGGATGTAAAATATATGCAAAAATTTGCTTCTGTACACTAATAACTACCCCAAAAAGAAAGTCCTTTTATTTTTGCTTGCATCCAATTAAATGCATAGGAATAAATTTAAATGATTAGATGCAAGATCTGAAAAATAATTAATCATTGATTAAAAACTTAAAGAAGAAGGCAATAAATGCAAACATGTCCTACATTTATATACTGGAAAATCTGATATTGTTGAACTATATAATTTCAATAAAGTCTGTGTAAAAATTCTGGTGACATTTTCCACAGAAATTAAAGAAATAACTCTAAAATTTCTCTGGAATCACAAGGAAACATGAATAACTGAAGAGAGCTGAAATAGGATGAACAGAGATGAAATCATCACACGTGCTGATTTCACGTAACGTTACCAAGTGCAGGAACCAAAGCGGGGCCCCGCAGGGCGATGGCACGGGAGGCAGAGTGAGGAAATGTATCCACACATTTTGGCCGTTTCATCTTCCACAAAGTTCATCAGAATATAGAATCTCTGAGAAAAGATAGTCTCAGTAAATGGTATTGGAAAAGCTGGGTGTCTACCGGTCAGAAATAGGACATTAGCCATTAGCTTGCACGATAGCCAACTCTGCTCTTTACAGTCCAATTTCAGACTGTTCTGTCATTGATGTTCTGAAATCACACACTGATGATGTGTGCTCCCAAACATACACATGTTGTAAGCACCGTAGTATCTACATTGTATGTAAAACATAACAGCTTTAAATGAAGGTTAAAGCCAAGTGTGGTTGTGCACGCCTATTATTCCAGGACTCTGGAGGCTGAGGCAGGAGGATCATAGAGAGCCTGAGAACCACCTGGGCTAGGAACTAACATACTATAATACTTTTGTTTACTTTACATATGTAGAAAACAACAAAAAATACAACTACAATCTTCATGTAAAAATACTAGTAGCTTTATATTTAGCTTTAGTGAGACCTTTGTCTCTTCATCTAGGTCTGACTTGCTATTTGTATTTTCATTTCCTCCTGGGGATCTCCTGTAAGCATTCCTTGCAGAGCAGATCTTGTGAGAAGCAGATTGTAAGCATTTGTTTAGCTGCGAATGTCATAATATCTCCCGCATTTTGGTTGGACATTTCTCAAATACAGCATTCTTACTTGACAGATTTTTTTTTCCCTTTTCGTTACTTTGACTATGTTAGCACATTGTCTTTTGACCTCAGAAGTTTCTAGTAAGTAATCTGGTAAAAGTCCTTCCTGCCTGAGGAGTTGCTTCCCTCTTCTAATTGCAAGATTCTTTGGCTTTTAAAGTTTGGCTATAACACATCTTGGTGTGGATCCCTGAGTTCACCCCCCTTCGGGTTTGCTGAGCGTCTTGACTCTGTGCATGATTTTCACAGGACGTGGGAAAGTGAAACCACTCCTTCTTCAATGACTCTTCGCTCTTTTCTGTCTTCCTTTAAAAACCGCTAGCATCTGTGTGCTGGTCCGCTTTACCCTCAGAGAATTTTGTCCCAAGTTCCACAGGTTGCATTAGTTTTTCTGCTGCTCATATTGTTTATGTTCCTCAGAGTTTCTGATTTTCATTCGCCTGTCTTCAACTGTACTGGCTTTTTAAACCTGCGGAAGCTACTTCTGAGTCATTCTATGCATGTTTTTCCTGCTTTGTGATAGTACTTTTCATTTGTAAATCTCTTTTAGGGTTCTGTGTGGGCATTTCTCTTTACTGACATTCCCACATTTTTCCTACATCATTTTCTTAGATTTTTTCACGTACTCCTTTCGTTGTTTGCATGTTTAGGGCAGTTGCTTAAGGTCGTCTCTCTCTTTACATGGTGCGTGTTTGTGATAGATTACAACAACATTCACTTTATACTTTTACTTTAAAGAGAGTAGCAAATGAGAAACAAACCAACAAAAAAATAGAACAGTAGCAGCATACCAGTATCACGAACATCAACAAATCATAGCGAGAACGTTCCAAGTGATACAGGGTCTCAAGACAAAATAATACCAGTCAACAGAGCTGTTACATTACATATCTCTATCCTCAACTACGAGGGACCTAGTACGTCTTCTCTTTGAGATATTCTATCAGAGATTTTCCAGATATAGTTTCTATTCAAATTTTGTTAAACTATGGGCTTTATAATTCTATTTCTCTGTATACTCTTTGATTTTTAATGGAAAACTTTGCAAAATAAACCGTAAGGAAACTCTAGAAATCATAGTATTTCCCTGTCCCAGTTTGAGAGATTTTTCTTTTTCTTTCTTTCTCTATTTATTATAAGCTGAATCTGTGGTAATGCTTTCATGAAACAAAAACTTCTGGTCTTACAGGTTTTCCTCACCCTGTGCTTTTCCCTGTTAATACACTTTCAACTTTAAAATTGTGTCCATATGTACAGCTACGTTTTAATATCCTAATCTTTAATATCTGATTTGCAAATAAAAAGGGATACACAAAGGATAAAAGTGGGGAAAAGATGATAACACTTTAAATCCCTTGAAAATCACTTCAGCAGGAGGAGGGGTTTAAAGCGAGCAACAGAGGGGTAGAAGGGTCATCATGGAGCTTCGCCTGCAATCCATCATCAGAGGAAGCAATCCTCTGACTACACACAGTTATGTGACATTTGGCAGACAAGACCTTTGTGCCCTTCTGCTCGGGAAGGATCTACGAACTCCTCCTGCAGTACGTGTGCGTCTGCTCACCTTGGAGCTGTGGGGTCAGAAGTAGCTGCTACTCTGTTAAGAGTTGGAATTGATCAGGTTAACCTGAATTTACTCTCTAATCCTTCCCATGAAAGTTTCAAGCTATTGGTAAAATCTAGAGCCCAAGTAATTTAAAAAGACCCGGTTCTGCCACTGTAAGCATTGTCTGGATGAGGAAAGAGATTCTTCCTGATTCTTTCCCAACCTTCTCAGAATTTTCTCCATGTGGATAAACCTGAAGTTTTTGCCTGTACCTGTAGCTGAGTGTTTCTTAGTTTCCTCTCTTACAAAGATTAATTGTGCAAAACTTAGAAATTACCAAAATCAATTAATCATTCATTTTTAAAAGGAATGACTTTAATTTTTTTTTTTTAGAATAAGATACATTTTGCAGGGAAAGAATTTACCTAATAGATTTTGTTAGTAGAGTTGGAAATAGTCACAGTGATTGTAGTGTTTTGTTTTTCTTTATTGAGACAGTGTCTTACTGTGTAGTTCAGGCTGGCCTTGAACCCACTATGTAACCCCTGCTCGCCTCAGAATTGCGGCAATCCTCCTGCCTCAGCTTCCCGAGTGCTAGGATTTGTGTCATTAGTCTATGACCAGTTTTACATCTAAATCAGATCATTTTCCCTAATATTACCATATTAAATCACTTGTAATGTTTAGATATAAGTATAAAAAATTTTTCCACCATGTATGTGAAAATTTATGTCTTTAAGAATATAATAGGAAAATATATTCCATTTCCAACAGGAAAAATATCTACATATCAAAGAAAACTATGGAATCTGTGTATGAAAGTTGTAATACATTTGGATAAATTGTTTTATAAAGAATCATATTATTATGTTTAAATCCTCAATTTCAAAAAGATGTAAATTTCTTCCAAATTGTCTATATATGAAGTGCTTTCTTTTTTTAAATTTGATTACTATTATTTTTAAACATGGAGAATATTCTAAAATTAAGCTGGATGAATAAATGTATAAAAACAACCAAGAAACAACAACCACAAAATAGAATTAGAGAATTAGAGCATAACAGTTTTTTCACTGTAATTACAACAGTGAGATTCTAGCGCAGGAAATGACAAACGTAGCAATTATACACTGAAATGTAGTTATAGCACAATGCTGCTATTTTAAAGATAAAAATTTGGAGAATTTTTTTGGGGGTCTGTGTTTTGTGTCCAGCTGAAACAAAGTTGTTATAGTAGGAAACATTTAGAGGGCCCAAACAGAGAATCCAACCAATCCAAGAAGGGATAAGTTTAGTGGAGGATGGCATTTAAGGGATCATATGAAACACTAGCAAACAAGATGGTCTATTATAAATAGATTCCCTCAGTCAGTCATTTCTCTGTCAAAAAAAGTCTTCACTGAACCAGAATATGAGGCAGAACATTATGTTTGACTGATCTGAACGTTGAAATCTCGTAAGAAGTCTCCACTTCCGGGGATGAAGCGGGTGGAATGGTGGAACTCTAATAAATTCAGAAGGAGAATTATGACGTCAATAGCTGATGGCAATATGATGAAAAGGTGGCCTGCCATAAGAAGCGGACGAGTTCATTTTACTGTCACTCCGACTGGGTTGAGACTCCTAGAGAAACGGCTGGATCATGGGGCCACTGCATTCAGCGGTGGATTAACCCCATGACGCTGGGTGCAGGGCTTGGATCTGGGAGAGGCTGGTCACCCCAGCGCGGCTTCGGGGCGCGCATCTCTGCAAAGTGCTCGTCCTCACTGTCCAGAGGTGCGCATCTTTCCCCCATGACGCCCGCCCACCAGGATGTTCCAGCGAGGCAGCTGATCAAGCACGCGTGGGAACCTGTGAAACTGTGGACGCAGAGCGTCCTCTCTTTTTTAACTTTGTGGGTTTCCAGTATTTTGTTCCAGCATCAGGAATGCTGACCAATGCATGAGAAAGTAGCAAATCATTTTGTCATTAAACTAGAGGTAAAAACTGAGGAGTGGTGAAGAATGAGCGAGAGATTGACCCTCATTATCATTTACTTCATTGTATCTTTGTCCTCCACTTCCTCCACCACCCTCTCCTCCTCTCCACCCCCTTTTTTTTGTTGTTGTTTTGTTTTGTTTTGTTTTTTTGAGATAGGGTCTTCCTGTACAGTTCAGGCTGACCTTGAGTTCACTGTAGCCCAGGCTGGTCTCGAACTTGCAAAGATCCTCCTGCCTCAGCTTCCTGAGTGCTGGGATTACAGGCGTGCGCCACCAAGCCCGGCAAACATATACTTTACCAATTTTCTCCTCCTTTTCAACATTCTCTTCTTTCCTCTTATTTTTTTTTTGTTTTACTTGTTTTCCTTTAATTAGCTTTTTTTAAAAAAAAAAATCTACCCACTTTAATTTATCAGCAGTCTTTTTATATGGAGGTATCAAATACAATCAGCCTATTTTCAAAAACTTCCAGTTATCTTTATTGAGGCCACAATTAAATAATTTCATGATATTTCAGGTTGTCACAAAAATTATAATATTTATTAGTCTAATTAAATACCACTCAAAGAAAACATTACATCCAATGTGGTATATAGCTAGTAGAAGGAAGCAAATTTCTTAATATTGGGAGTGCAAAATATGCAAATACATGTGGAGGCTAAGTACATAATAACAGATTTAAAAGCAGGGAAATCTCGGATTCATAGGCTAAGGTACCTTGGGCTCCAGTCAGTAAATAGAGCCCTTTACACAGCAAAGAAAGCACTGCTAATGAAAATACCTGTAATGTCCACTCAAAATAGATCCAGTAGTACCTGTTATTTATTTTATGCTCATTATGACAAAGAAGATATTTTACCTAATTTAGATATTATTAAGCTTGTGGTTCCTAAATATGAAACTATTAGAGGAATTGACTTAAAAGATAAAGATGGCAAACCAATTATTTTCTTATGTGTATATGAAGTGTTACAAATTATTTTGGGTTCCATGTTTGGACCTTCCAGTAGTAAAGCTTGTTGTCAGTGGCCTGGGATATATTTTCTTGTTGTACTTTTATTTTACAAAATCAAAATTATTTGAGTTACTTGTACTGGATATTTTCAATGATTTTCTTATTTCACATTATATTGAGTAATTTACTTGTGTGTGCTTCAAATTCAACTTAAGAAACTAATTTTTTTTTATAATTGAAGCTTTTCTTCAGGCCCAATATTTTTATTCTTAGGTTCTGAACAATAAACCTCATAGAAACAAAATTTTACTTTATCTATGTTCTTATCAATTTTTATTTTGGTTTAACAGTTTCCAATGCAACTTTGGGTGCCAATATGTACAACATTTCACTGTACAAGGTAAATAATTCAATTTGCACACAAGAATAATTGTTAATATGATTAATAAAAGATGACATATGGAAAACAAATAGCACAAATATAATAATTTTAAATTATAATGTTTTGCTAAAGATTATTGATAGCATATACTTGTGCACTTTACCACTAAAAATGTGCTTATCTAATACAAGTCTGTGGAATAAAATAATGATAGACGAGAATTAGGCAAAACCTCATTGATATTTACTGTATGTTTTATTCCATATGCACGACAGTTAGCATCACTCTGGTCTAGAAGCTGCTGACAAGTTCCTGCTGCAGCATGCTGTCTATCTAGTCGATGACCTATTTGGAAAAGAATTGATTTAGACCATAGTATTCAGAGCTAAGAGGAATTGCACAAATCATTCAGACCAGCCCAATCAATTATGCAAACTGCGATTTTTCATTAAGAGTTAAAGAGGTTATGGCAAAATTATACCTCAGTGATTTGGTAGAGTTACAAAAATACATGATGCATCTGATTAATATATAACACAGAGAAGAAAATAATTTAGACATCGTGATGCAGAATATTGTTCATGTAACAGTTACACATCAATAAATGCCTAATAAATAACAAAATATAACTACAGCAAAAATTAACAGGAAAAATACGGATGATTTTCATGTTTAGAAGGCTTTAAGGCTTGCATGTTCTCTAAAAATATTGATATGAAGGGGAAGGAAGTATTTTTTTAAAACTAAAGTGAATGAGGACACTAAATGGTTCAATTTTGATGCTGAAGCATGTGAGTTTAGTGTGTTGCACACCGATGGAATAACATAGATGTGTGCTCTTGCACTCTCATTTCAACTTGTTATTCATATTGTGAATATCTCCACTCTAAAGGTAAAGGCAAAGAAAATGTCCCAAAGAAGATAATTAAGATGTTCAAGGCTTCTGAAAAGCATCATGATTTAAGCAAATAGGATGTAGTGCCAGGCTTTCTGGTTCAAATTTTTCTCCATTTTAATATGTATGTGACCTGATTATTTAATTCTTTATCATAAGATGGGTATTTTAAGATGCCCTATTACATAAAGTTACTGAAGTGTTAAAAGAAATTATACATGTTAAAAGGTTGGTGCTAATTATGCAATGAATTATATACATTATGCAAAAGCCAGAAATTTAAATATGAACACAAGTTTCAGTGTGGTTATTTTTTTTTTCATTTAGAGTTTGGGCTTCAGAAAATATGGTCAGGGAGAGAGTTAAAGCCCACTACATTCCTCGCTTCACCCGTCCATATTTTATTGCCGTAGTTTTTGGTTCCCCAACTCTGTTATTTTTTAATTAAAATGATTGTAACTGGTTTATAAATTATGCATATCAATAAGGTACCATGTAATTACAATATATATTGTGCAAAAATTTCAGATCTTAAATTCGTAACATAATTCTTTTAAAGAGGAAGATTTTCATGATATGAATACCCTACTCCAATGCTGATGCTGGCAGTTTCCTAGGTTCCCTTTTTGCTTTTTACACAAATGTAGATATTTCCGGTGCCGCTGGGCACACTGAGGGGGTATGGCTGTAGACACGTGTAGACATGTCTAGCTCCCCAGAGAGCCATCAGTTCTTTCTGCTACAGCTTCCAAGGCCCTTTCTGCTGGTTTGTGGAGTTTACAGTAGTCCGGTTATTTCCAGCCACCCTGCTGTGCTCCTATTTAAGTGCAGCTCAGTACGCATCAGTCAGCCTCGCCCATCTCTGCCTGTGCTTTGATCTCCCCAGCCTCTGATACACAGCGTATTCCTTGATAGACATTTAGAGACATAAATTTTAATCCCAGTGACTTCAATGTTTACATTTAACTATAGGGGAATAAAATGTTATTTTAATGCTTGCTGATCAATGATTTCTCTGTTATATAAAAAATAAAGGAGAATTTTTATATGTCAGTACCACCTCTAGGAAAAACATTCAGATCTGAAATTCATAAAGGAGTTGTGTCAGAAGAAGTTTTTATAATACTCATATCCCTCTTTCCTCCACATTTAACTGTTTATTTGTTGCTGTATCTTTGTTATTTACTTATTATTTAGTCTGGGTCTTATGTTGCCCAGGGTTTTGTGAACTTACGATCTTTCTGCTTTAGCCTGTTGGGTGGCTAGGATTCCAGATGTGTGCCGCTGTGCCTGGGTCTTAGTGTATTTTTTAAGTCACTTTACATCTTTATTTTAGCCAATTTGTACTGGGAATCAAGCTCAGGACCTCATACTTGTCAGGCAGGCGCTTGTCCCACTGAGCCTTCCCCCACACCCTTAGCCAATAATATTAACCTCTGGTTCATTTGATTTATGTATTCTTGTTTCCTTTATTTCTTGTGAACTGTGTAATGCATTACTTACTGATATAATTATGAGTAGGTGTAAAGTATCACTCTCTTTCCTTGTAAAATGTTTCAGTGTAGTAATTTTTATACCTTGTACTAGATGTAATTCAGTCCTTTTTGTAGAGATGAAAGTCCTGTGAGTTTGGTGACTAAATACTCACACATTTATAAATGGAAACTGCAAGCCAGTTCTCAATTGCACATTTCTACACTGTTGTGTACTAAATACTTTTGTTAGATTAGTCTCAGTCATCTATCTTAAAAGGTCCCTCTACCTGTCATAGAATCTCAGTGGCTAGGCTTCTACTCAAAATGAAGCATATGTTGATTTTTCAGGAAAATTATGTAATGATTTTCAAAAACTAATAGTGGTAATCCTGTTATCCTTAGTTTGCTTTCCTTCTTCAGAGTTGCCAATTAGAAAACAAATACCCCATATATTTCGTTATATAAAAAAATAAAAGAATTTTGTACTAATTTTACATAGGTATAATGAAAATGAATTTGACCTGCATGATTTATGCATAATTGTTTCAACTGCATAGATATAGGAGTTTGAAGGTTTTCTAATATGAGTTCAGGCCATTATTTCAGTAAATATTCTCTTTTTTTACCTTGAAACTGAAAAGACATAATTAAATATTTGACCTTGTACTAATGAAAAGAGAAGCAAGAATCATGGAGCAAAAATTTACTACATTTTCATCCTGTACTGTTCCTTAGAAAGCATACATTGCACTATTTTCATATCTATATATTATCTAAAAGAAATAGCTGAACATTAAAAATATATTCAATTCAGCACTATAGATTAATTATTAAATTGATTATTTTTGAACTTTCCATAGAGTACCTTTTCATATGTAAAACTATATATTTCATAATTGCAATTTGATCAGTACTGTTTTTAATATAGACATCATCAGTAATCTGTTGCTTATGGTGTAAAAAGTAGTTTTTATACTACTTCAGATTTTCTGTAAGAAATCATGTATGATCATCTTTAGTATTCACAGAGGTTCTGAATGAGTGTGAATGACATAACTTTCTTTAAAGTGAACCATAAGGATTGCATTAGTATTGGACCAATTTTCCAGCCAAATGAGTATGCGTGGTAGAGAGTTAATAAAAGTCTGACTAATAGTGGTATAGACAGTTCATAGACTAGAAAGGCCTATTAGTCCATAGCATTGTGGCTTTGATATATTTAACTTCTAACCTTCGAATTAATTTGCGGTTCTGTTTGTATTCACAAATTCCAGCTCAAACTAGATTTATTATGGCAAAGAAAGCATTATGATATAAACTAATGTAATAATTAACACTGTACTTTCAGTTGTATTTATATAAAGTGCGATTAAAGCCATAATTAATATTCAGGAAATAAACAAGCTATCCTGAGTTATAAATACACAAGCATTAGTGTATTTATGGAAAATATATTTATTTCATTGTAAGTTCATGATCATAAATACTAATGCTTTTGTGAAAATACATGCACCCATGAAGACATATTATACATTAAACAAAATGAAATAAATAGTTTTCTCTCTTACTGTTTACATCAATTTATTCCATTTTTTCTTATAAAATTATTTTATTAAATAGGTTTTGTTCATTTTTCAAATTTTTAAATATATTGAGCAAAAATTAATTTCATCCATGCAGGGTGCAAAACAATGGGCCAGAACTGGGAAGAAATGTGAATATACATATGTTCCTCTGTTGATAAGGAGGTTGCATCTTGATAAACCCATTTTAATCCAAAAAGTGTATCTCATACATGTAAATAATAATACAACAGAACTTTGCTCATTCTACCTTTAATGTGCTTAGAACATATATATGAACTTTGCACAAATTATCTAACATATAAAATAAAATTTTGAGTATCTCCTGAAATTTATTCAATATTAAAATTAAAAGTGAAAAGCAGAATGTTTGCATGGGCATCATTTTCACACCATGGAAAAGTGGGAAAATCTTTAACTCAACCTCATTAAATTGAGGACCATCTTATGCATAATTATAACAGATAGTACTTTCTGTTTCTCTCTTTTATGTCATCTTACATCTAGTAGGGAGAAAGACATTTGATTTTCTAATATGGACTACCATACCGTGTTAAAGAAGGGGATGCTGAGCTTTGGACACGTCTTACATTAGTTTTCTAGGAACTCTACCAAAAGGATGGCTTCAAAAGCAGAGACTTATTGTCTCACAGTAAATTAGAGAAGTGGGGTCTTCTCAGGGCTGTGAGGGAGGATTTGTGCGACGACCCTCAGCTTTTGGTGATTTGATGGCAATTTCTACTTTGCAGATGCATCACCACAATCTCTGCCTTCGTCTACATGTAGCATTCTCCTTGCTTCTCCTTGATATTTGCTTTCCGTGGGTGTCCAGTTCCCTGAGAAAAAGGCAGCAGTCAGAAGGGCTTAGGGTGCATCCTCAAGATTTCATTTAATCTTGCTTAACCTTATTAACATTCTATTTCCCAAAAGACCACTTTCTGAAGCACTCAGGATTAGCATTTCAGTCTGTCTCTGGGAGGAAAGAGCATAATCCATGCAGTCATCTATCTAAATGTGTTTTGTTTGTTTCCTTTTTGGACTTCAATTCTGTCCGGTAACACCTGT